GTTTTTCCAAGAATGCTTTCCTGGAAGCACAAAAGTAATTAATCGCCAAATAGGCAGAGCAAGAGACCCCCTGGCTTAACTGCAAGCCTCCGAGTCTGCTCAAAACCAAGAGATGCATACCAGAGATGGAAAAGCAGACAAATAGCTATTGAATACTACAAAGGCACTGCCAGGGCATGCAGAGAAGCAGTTAGAAAAGCAGAAGTTCAGAACAAATTGAAATTGTCCAGAGATGTCAAAAATCCAAAGAAAGGGTTCTTTGTGTATGTAAACAGTAAGAAACAGAAGGAAAATGTGCATCTGATGTTAAACAGGAGAGATGAATTAGTCACCAACAATGCTGAAAAGGCTAGAGGTTCTCAACACTTTCTTCTCCTCTGTCTTCTTCACCCAGCACTGTTGGGCCCCAGGCCTTGGGAACAAAAATCCAGGTTGATGCAAATGCAGACCTACTGTCAATGAAGAAAGAGTTGGCATGTGGACTGTTACAGGAGCTTGACCCCAACAAATCGATGGACCCTAACACTGTCCACCCAAGAGTGTTAAGAGAGTTGGCTGACATCATTGCAAGGCTGCTTGCTCTCCATAACCTTTGAGAACTCACAGAGATCGGGGGACTGCCCAGGAGATTGGAAGAAGGCTAATATCACCCCCATCTACAAGAAAGGATTAAAAGAGGATCACAGAGATTATAGGTCCATCAGTCTTATTCAGTCTCTGGGAAAGTTATTGAACAAATCTTCCTTGGGGCTATCAGAAGTCAAATGAAACATGGGATTGGGAAAAGCCAGCACGGACTCACCAAGGGCAAATTATGCTTAACAAACCTGATCACCTTCTATGACTAAGTAACTGGCTTGGTTATGTGGGGCAAGCAGTGGACACTGTCTGCATGGATTTCTCCAAGGCTTTCGATGCTGTTTCCCACAGCCTCCTCCTACAGAGACTAATGTGTTATGGTCTAGACAAGCGGTCTGTGCAGTGTGTGGGGAACTGGCTGACAGGCCACACCTAGAAGGTGGTGGTAAATAGCTCCTTTTCAAACTGGAAATCTGTCACAACTGGGGTCCCCCAGGGATCGATATTGGGCCCCAATGCTGTTTAATATCTTCATAAGTAATCTGGATGATGGAATTAAGTGTACCCCGATGAAGTGTGCTGATGATACCAAGCCGAATGGGGAAGCGGACACTTTGGAAGAAAGATCCTCCCTGCAGGAAGACCTGGACAGGCTGGAAGAGTGGGCTAACAAGAACCTTATGAAGTTCAACAAAGACAAACATTTTGCACCTGGAAAACATCATCCAGGAATGCAGCATAGGCTGGGATCTATCCCGATGGGAAGATGTTCTGTGGAAAGGGCCCTAGGGATCCTGGTGGACAACAAGCTGAATACGAGTGAATAGTGAGCTGCTGCAGCAGAGAGCCAACAGGATGCTGGGTTGCATCAACAAGGGCACCACCAGCAGAGATAAAGAAGTCATTCTCCCACTCTACTCAGTGCCTTGTCAGGCCACATTTGGAATCCTGTGTTCACTTTTGGTCCCTGATATACAAAAGAAGATGTGGGCAGGCTGGAGAGGGTCCAGAGAAGAGCCACAAAGATGATTCAAGGACTGGGAAGGTGCCATGTGAAGAAAGGCTGAGAGAACTGAGTTTGTTCAGCCTTGAGAAAAGAAGGCTAAGGGGAGACGTTATCACCATGTTCCAGTATTTAAAGGGTGGCTACAAAGAAGATGGAGACTTCCTTTTTACAAGGAGTCACATGGAAAAGACAAGGGGTAATAGGTACAAGTTACTCCTCAGGAGATTCCAATTGGACACGAGAGAACAATTTTTCACAATGAGAACAATTAGCCATTGGAATAATCTCCCCAGGGAAGTGGCAGATTCCCCAACACTGGACACTTTTTAGGTGTACTAGGGCATCTTGTCTAGACCATGCTTTTGCCAAGAAAGGTTGGACCAGATAATCCTTGAGCTCCCTTCCAATCTGGTGTTCTATGATTCTGTGACAGAGTATCATAAACCCTGAAGATAATACCAAATGGGCAAACTGAGCTGCTGCTTAGTTGCCATAGTTCAATTTTTTCTTGCAATCTGAAATACGCTTTCTACTGGAGACTCATTTTATATATAATTTTTGATTATTAGGGAACTACATATTATTTAAATAAAACCAAACACAAACCAACCAACAAACCTTCTCCTTCCCATCCCTAATAGTTAAGATTATTGCTGCCCGTGAACCCTGGACAGCATTTGATTATCCCCTTTTCACACTTTCTTTTCACACTTTGCTAGTGTCTGCTGGTGCTGCTTTCACTTTGTAAGTTTTGTGCATGTCCCTGTTCAAAATCCCCCTCAAAGAACAAAACCAAAACACAAATATAAATAACAGTGCAACATGAAACAAATAGTATTCTAACAGTTTGGCAAGTGATGAATTCACCTGAGATTTAGTGATCTTTAGGCAGTCTGTAACAAAACACTGATTTGCAATAAAAGCACAAAGGCAATAAATTATTTTAAGAAATCAAGAAAGTATACAATCTTGATTACGTCTCATTAGTTTCCTTCTGTTCTCTCTTCCCCCACCTATCTGTTGCTTGTCTACTACAGTTGGCTGCAAAACATAAAGCAAGGATTGACTTTGAAGGCATGTAATGCTTGTAAATAAATCCACAATAGGATCCAAGCTGAAGAGGTGATACATGATCAGCCTACAAGGACAATTCTGAGCATGTGCATATGCAGGCAAAGTCCAGGCTACATCAAATTAAAAGAAAAAGTCAGGGCATTTGTCAATTTGTCAGCCTTCATCTCTTTTTTTTTTTTTTTTTTTTTGGTAAAGCTGTCTTTTGTTCCTTGTTGTGCAGATCACAAACAATTGGGGAGAGGTTGGTAACAACAGTCCATCACAAATGAGAATAAGTTGTAGTGACACAACTGTATAACATAAGTAATAAGCATGTGCAAATTTTCATAGAATCATAGAAAGCAGCCATTCCTCTCTTACAACATTACAACATGGTTTGAGTGTTTTGAAACACCTGACTGCATGCTAATAAGGCTGCTCCTAGTATGTGCTACTATTTAATGGAAAGGGACGTAAGTTTTCAAGCATGTGGAGCAGTCCTATGATGTGCTGTGGGTGTCAAAAGCATGATCACAGGTTCTTTTCATTTATTCACCATATGGGCAAGAGCAATATCATTTCCTTTAAAAGCAAGTCTCCACTGTGATACCTTGATCTTCAACACAGAAGGTGTGATTCAAAACCCAAGTCAAGTCAGCTTTTTATGGATTCCTTCAATGAGAGGGGCAAGATGGTATCTCATCTGTGGGCTGATCTGGGTTTGGATCAATCTAACCAAAAGAAAAAGAAAAACCCCAAAACAACAACAACAAGAAAAAATAAACAACAAAAAAACCCAACCAAACAGTTGACCAAATAAACAAACAAACCCAGAACAAAAAAACAAAATAAAAAACAAAACAGCAAAACCCCAAAATATAAGCCACAACAACTCAGTGCATTTCAGCATCAATTGTTAGGAATAAAAATCAAAATTCACAAGTTTAAGACAATTATAATGATATGTGGCATTTCCAGTCCAGGTGTTATTGAAATAACTGAAAAACTTCTAGTTAGACAAAACTTTGGATAAACAGTAATAGAAATATTAGATCCAGTGGAAGACTTTAAACTACAGGTTGATGACAATTTAAGGATAAGCATGAATAACTGCTATAAAAAATTTTTTTCTCCTTTACTCACACAGAAGTCTTTTGAATTACCTGATATATGCAAAAAAGATTACTTGACACATACCACTGGAAACATAATTTAAGAAATATTTACTTGAGAGAAGCAATGAAGTTTTTCTTGAAATGGCAGAAATGTATCAATAAAAAATCATTCTACTTTTAAATTAAAGTAGTTAATATTCAAATATCCTATGGGATGTTTCAAAAAGTTCATGTGCTCTAAACTTTACCTCTTCTTCCTCTCAACAGGAGAATTAAAGGGTACAAGCCTGCTAACTTAGGTCTCAAAAAATAGCTGTAAGATTAGTTTACACGTACATTGCATCTTTTAGACATTGAATCAGTTAACGTCATGTAGCCCTTTGGTTTTGCATTTCAAGCCGGGGGGGGATGTCATGCTACGTAATGCTATTTTCCTAAAGCGGATCAATTCAGAACAAATTTGGCCAGAGGACACTTTTTTTTTTTCATTTGTCCTACATCACTTATTTTTCTTGAAAAAGAAAAAAAATCAACATGAAAAGCTTTGAAATTTGCATCTCATTCACGGTTATTTGGTGGCTGCATTTTTAGTTCTGTGAAGGACAAAAGTGCTGAAGAACTGTGTACTTCAGAAAACTTAAGTCATAAATTAATACCAATACATCGCTTTTCTACGTGAAACTTCTGAAAGACCTACGTTCACAGAATTTAAACACACATGCAGGCAAAACAGATTAGTGGTTGCTATAAAATGTTAGGAAGCGGCAGAGGTGAAAGAGTTGAAACCTTATTTTTGGTACACAAATTTTTAAAAATTATGTTTCTAAAATGGCAAACACCACTTTGAAAATTTCCAGAAAGTATTAGACTAGGGAAGAGTGCTGCCAAGAAGAATTACCTCCCCCCATTGGCAGCTCCAGGACATAGCACAATGGAGAAGCCAAGGCACCTCATGGAGCACCTTTTAAATTTAAGGTTGCAGAGTTCACGTAAAAAAAAAAGAAAAAAAAATTATAAAAAGGGTAACCCATGCTGTAAAACAGGCATGGAAAACTCATGATGCAATTCATCTGCATCTTGCAAACAAACAAAAATCCTCCTCAAAACCAGCTTATTCCATGTTCATCATTTTAATGGTTTCTTCCAATTTTAGGAAGGAGAAACAGGTTTGTAAACTTATTCCATCAGACAAAAAAAAAAAATCCGCCACAAACACTATATAAATCATCATAGTCTGACAGAGATACCTACTTCTGAATATAGGGGAGGAGGCAGAAAACGAAACTCCTGGATGTATGCAAATAATGGTCCTTGCAGTGCTCTCTGAAAATCATCAAAAGCAGCTACAGGAGCAAGGCCAGACTGTCTGTTTTCCTCTGTGACCACTTCTGCATAGTTAGGAGGTGCTGGAGGGAGAAGGTACATACAGTTCAAACAACAAGTTCTTATGCATGACAAAATATACAACATGATAAATATTAAACTTCAACCACTGAAATATTCACCAGCAGATAAACAGTGACTTAAAAATTGTTAAACAAAAAAGGAAGACTATTTTGTTCTATTCTGATATTAAGTTTATGTTCAAAGACAGACTGACCACTGTTTATTGTGGCTGAATTATCCCCTTAAAATTTAAATCAGACCAAAGATAATTTATTCTCTGTACAGGTAGAAATGACAGAACACTGCAGTCCTCTGTACTCCAGAAGTCTCCAGGTCTGGGATTTGCACTTAAAGAAAGCAAGATATTAGATGTGCAAAAAGAGAAGGAAGGAAATACATAATTCTTTCTTTGGCCATGAGAAATCTCCCATAGAAAAGAATATTATCTTTTCACAAAGCCTTGGCTACTAAGGTTGATGAGAAAGCCCAGAAACTGCTATTATGGGTTGCAATGCCTTATAACCAAGGATGCAATTGGGATACTGGAAGTGGAAGCAATGAAGTTATGCACAGATACAATGGTATCCTGTGCTTTTTTTTCTGCCACTTTCCAAAGAAGCTAGATTTCACTGCCTGTCCTAGAGACAGAAAGGCAGGCAGGGGAAAAAAAAATCTCTTGCTCTACACAGAACAAGCAGGTGGCAAGAAAACATCCACAACAGATCTCCTGTGGGCTTTATTATAAAAGCATGTAATTTGACTCTGTTAACAAGACTACAATGAATAAAGCAGACAAAAATCAAGAGAGCAGCAAATTGATTGGGATTTGTATTATCATGCTACCTTCTAGTCTTTCAGGCAGAGTCAGACCAAGCCAGTTCATGCTCATGCTACCCTGGCTGCTTACGCTTGATGTTCTGCTACCAAATGGATGTAGAGGAATGGTACCAATGACCAGTGGTAAGTTAAGGAACAAATCCACAGCTCCTGGAATATCAACATATACCTGAAGAAAAATGAAACAAGTATATGATTAAAATGTGGGGTTTTATCAGCATTTCATAAGTATTAGTCTAAGTTATCTTTCTATGAAATTTTTCATGAGGAGCTTGTTTCTAATAGCCCCTGTGAAAAACTCCAATCACTTGTTTTCAAAGTTTTAAAAGTTTAATAGTAATAAAACGGTTATAAAAATAGTAATATAATTAGAATAATAAAAATTTGGACAATTTGGATTAGGACAACATGAGACAATAAAAACAAGGAGTTACAGACGTCTGGGTGCCTTTTTCTGGGCAAAATAAGCCTGAAAAAGGACACACGTTAACAGAGGATTAACCCTTAAAAACAATAGCCTGTTGCATATTCATACACTGTTGCGGTGTGTCAGGGTTTACCTCAGAAACCTGAGTCCCTCCCCTGAAGATTCCCTCTCAGGTTTGTCAATCATCATTTCTTTCCTCACCCTGACCCCTGCCGAGAACTGTCTGTCAGTCCTGGAATTCCAGAAGGGCGTTGAGTGATTGGCAGATTCAAAGGATGCCGTCTACCCCCGGTGTAGAGAGCTTTTTAGATAATTGGTTAGCTGAGAAAGGACATTCCGATGTGATACCGATGGATAAGGGTAAGAGAAACAGGCTGGGAACTGAGCAACCGGTGCCTAATTACTGACGAAGGTCACAGTGACCTTCTCTAAAACGGGAAGACGGGGGAGAAAATTGCTTGCCAGAAAATGCAGAAAATGTAGCTATCCCAAGGTAGAGAAATTAGAAGAATGTACACATAGAAACAAAATAATTGTTAAGAGATAGAAGTAGGTGTGTTTGATCTAAGTGTGCTTTAACCAATAATGAGCTCGACTTTTGCAATATGTATAAGCTTCATTAACACTGATATAAATATGTGTGGAGTTTCAATAAACTTCGAGATTTGCTATTCATCGCATATGGTGTGTCGCATCTCTCCCGCCGCTACGACACCCCGGGAGGGGGGGGGGGGGGGGGCATTGGGCCATCCAGGTGTCCTTTGTCCCCTAAGACCTCCTCTCCTGTACCTGGTTGGTGGGCTTCCTACCCCTTCCCTCCCCCTCTCCCCCGGGTTAAAAGGGCAGGCAACCACATGGTTCAGGGAGTTCTGTTGGAGCTGTTGCTGGATTCAGAGGCCTGCGGGCCAGAATAAACGCTCTGGATTAAAACCCTCCATTACAACCGACTCCTTTCCTTCACCATTGCCTTAAAGATTCTCTGTCAGAGGAAAACCTGAGGAGCAGACCCTCTTTGTGAGGAAGCTCCATCCCGCCACCACCAGAGCTCCAGCATGCCTGGACTTGTCTCCACATGCCCAGCCGCAACACAAAGCTAGCCAAAAGCGTCTCTAGGGTGAAACACCACAGATGCCACTATTTGGTTCAGCAGCAAGGGCCAGACAAGCTAAGGCACATCCCATCCAGCTATATTGGTAAATATATCAATAATACACCTCACACATGATGCATAAATTCCATTCAAACAAAGAATTCTGTCTGGTCAGTGTCAATTTCTTCCTCTTAATCCTAATGGCGTCTCAGCGCTGAGCAAGGCAGGAAGAAGTTAGTTTCTTCTGATAAGGGAGCAATAAATTCTTTTTCTCTGAAAGATTTAGGTGTCCTGTAGCTGCTATCTTGCTGCGAGTCGTCTCTTAAAAAAAAGTATCTGACATAGCATAGTTTCTATTTTAACATTATGTTATAACCTAAAACTATATTTAACGCACTACTTAAGCAAAGTAATACAGCATAACTTTCTAAAATAACACATGGTAATAGTCATTTAAATATTTGCGAAAAGCCAATCATAAAATACGCATTTTTCACAGCCCCTTTTAGGGTCCATGCCCCTATGGAGACATGAGCTCTTCAAGTTGAGAAGAGTCTTAACATGAGCCCTCACATGGAAATGCAGTGTACTCATTAAATGCTCACTTAGTTGACAGACAACTGCTTTGAGAACTTGCATGATTTAAACTAAATTTACTTACCAGACCTCCTGTCGTGACACTAAACCCAGAACATGTATTTCTTTCATAAATAATTGTAATATAGGGTAGGGATAATTCATGCTATTAATGTATGGTATAAAAATATTGTGAAATCCAAACCATGTCTTTTGACTACTCCGGCCCAGAGCAGCTGTCTTATTCAGATTCAACTAGTTCCTGGACGCAAGTTAAGATAACAATCGACACCTTAATGTAAGAATAGAAGCTTCCAGGGCGATGATCATTGGTTTCCCCGAGAGCCACCCGAAAGCGATTAGAAAGCGATTATCGCCTTGCCGATTGCATCTATCAAGATAGTCAGTTGTGCCACCCTGATACATCTGAATACACGGCTCTTCCAAAGCCAATTGACACCAATGGCACACCTGGACGAGGCTTTTGTCCACCTCTGTACATGGAAAGCAACAGTGATGCATGTGAAGAGACACAAAGAAAATTCGGTCATCTTTGCCTCGGGCAGAATAAACTGTATAAAACCTCACTGCATGAAGCAGCAAGTGTGAACTGGGGGAACTCTGACACTCAGGAGGTCAGATCCGTGTTCACCCAGCGCCGATCCCGGGCTCGACGCTGTCTCTTTGGCTGTGGTGGTTTCGAAGACAGAACTTCGGTCTCGCAGAAAAATTAATAAATCTTTCCAAAATTTTTGATAATTTTGGCTCACAATTTGATCATTTATAACTATCTGGTGACAACCTGACGTGATTTGAATTTGGGGTTCGGGACCCCTTCCCACCTGGAGGGCACCCTGCTGATTTCAGCTGTCTGAGCAGGATTGGAGTCCGCAAGGCCAATCAAAAATCACAGAACTGAAACCGGAGCCACAGCCAAAGAGGGATAAAAACGGGCCAAATTCTCGGAAACTCTGAAAGATCCAGGGGATCTCCGAGCCTGAGGTTTTTTTTCCACTCGGAAAATCGACGTGCACAAAGAACGCACATGGGAAAAAGAACCGTGAGTATCGCGTGGTTGAGTGGGGTGTGACCGAACATGTGTGAGATGTGACTCTGTCACAAAGCGAGTGTGGACCCCACAATCGCAGTTCCACCATCCCACGAGGGATGTGGTCGGTCAAGGGGGAAGCGGATGCTCTTTGCTTAACACACACGGGACCTGAGACTCGCAGGGGGTTCGAGGGGGAAAATCAGTCACAGTTGGGTCAGGAGGGGGAAGAGACGGTCCTAGAAAATTCTAGGAGCCCATCTGCCTTCTGATCCAGAGAAAACAGGTAAGAAAACCAGAAATCAGTCGAAAAGTCAGCCGAACGGTTCTCCGCTCAACTGAGTGAGACTGGCGGCGTTTTGCAAGCTCAGAAAATCGACATCGGACAAAGAATTGGGACTTGCGACAAGCGTCCCAGCCGGAGGAGACAAGGTGAGAAAAATCACAGAAGGGATTTTTGGAAAAATGGGGTTGGGAAAGAGCAGGTTTCAGAGAAAATCCCAGGAAAAAATCTCCCCAGGGTCCCGGGAAATTTCTGCCAGAAATCCCAAGAGATAGTCCGTTGGGGTGGATGCTAGAACATTGGGATGAGAGCCCAAGGAGAGCGGGCAGATCCAAGGAGACAATGATCCGTTTTTGTATGGAAAAATGGGGAGGGAAGGAGATCAGAAAATACGTAGTTTGGCCAATTTTCGGCACATTTGAGGCTTGGACTTGTGAGTCCTTGTATGATCACGTATTTGATTGCCGCCTGCAGGATTTTGAGGAAATTGAGTATGCCGAGATGCGGAGGTATGCTTGTACAAGTTTACACCCGGTACAAGCCCTCCGACGCGCGGTAAACAGGGGAAAGGAATGGGAACCTTTGGACAATCTTCCACCTCCTTACCTTGTTCCTCCACCACAGCCTGGACCAGCTCAGGCACAGCCGGTGCCATCACTGCCTCTCGAGGCAGCGATCCTGCTGGGTCAGGTCTCGGCACCGCCGCTCCCACCGGAGCAGGCTGTGGCGCCTTCCCTTCTACGTGAACAAGTGGCAGCGGCGGCGACTCCGCTCCCATGTGAGCAAACACTGCTGCAGACCCTTCCCAAAACCGAAGAAAAACAGGTAACTGTCCCCAGAGACAGCTCTCCCCCGGCCCATCAGACGAGGCGGCGAACAAGGAGGGCAACCACGGGAGACAGTGGGGACGAGGAAGAGAAGCCCGGCTTCTTCCCTTTACGGGAAGTGCCAACGGCTCCGGGAGTGATCGGCTTCGTGCATGCGCCGATCGACACGAATGATGATAGGGTGTTCGAGAAAGAAATGGGAAAATTGATGGATGATCCTTTGGGGTGGCGGAAAGGCTAGATGAATTTCTAGGGACCAGCACATACACCTATGAGGATCTCCAAGCGGTCCTAAGATCGCTGTTTAACGAGGAAAGAGACATGATCAGGCAAGCCGCGAACAAAGATTGGGAAAAGAGGAACCCTAACGGGGGGATCAGGGACGAGAGATGGCCAAATCAGAAACGATCTTGGAGTGCCCAGACGGAGGAGGGGAGGCAGAAAATTATAAATTTGAGAAATACGATAATTCAGGGTATCAGGGAGGCGGTACCCAAGGGATAGAACATGAGCAAGGTACTCAGAGAGTGCCAAGGGAAAGATGAGACCCCCACGGAATGGTTGGAGAGACTTCACAAGGGTCTGAGAATGTATTTGGGAACGGATCCTGATTCTCCGGTGGGGATGGTTTTGCTAAAAACTCAGTTTGTGGCGAAATCTTGGGAGGACATTCGGAAGAAGTTAGAAAAGATAGATGGGTGGCAGGAACAAGGATTGCAGGAGCTGCTCCGGGAAGCCCAGAAAGTGTACATGAGACGGGATGAAAAGAAACAGAAGATCCAAGCCAAGGTATTGGTGGCTGCGGTAAGGAAAGCACAAAAGCAGGAACAAGGTAAGGACATGACGAAAAAGGCACCGGCGAAGAAACAGAGTACTTCACAGGGAAAAGGATCGAACGATCAGAGGCAAGATTTTGAG